GTTCATCTGGCCCTGGAGACTTGAATTCATTTAGAGTGGCCAGGTATTTCTGGACTACTTCTTTACCTATTGTGGGTTGCATTTCCCCTATTAGTTTGTCCACTTCATATTGCTCAAGTTGAAAACCGATTTCTTTTTATGAGAAGACTGAATCAAATAAGGTATCGAATAGTTCTGTTTTTTTCTTATCCCTAGTCAGCATTTCACCACCTTCTCCACACAGAGGTCCTACCTTTCCTTGTTCTTCCCTAACCAAAGAGCCCTTTTTATTGTTTTTAATCTCTCTGGCAGCTCTGAGCTCATTTGCGCTTTAGCCTTATGAACCTTTTCCATAATTACGTTATTGATTTGAATTCCTCTTTGGTGATTTTCCTCCTTTTCCATTTCTTGTGCATGTCTCTTTGAAATCTTAGCTCAGTTAAAAGTTCTTCGGATATTCATTCTAGTTGCTTTACCCTTCTCTTATTTTTTTTCCTCCTTGCTGGCACAGTTGCATTTGTTGGACTTTGTACTCTTGACAAAGTTTATTTTCCAACAAATATCAGAGTAGTTGAAATCCCCCATTACTACTATAGCTCTTCTTTCTGCGTATTTGGTCATCCGGTCAAGGAAGGCTTCATCTAGTTCTTTCGTCTGGCTTGGAGGTTTGTACTAGACCCCCACAATCACATCTTTTTCAGTTCTTGTTCCCTTCATTCTTATCCAGACGCTCTCAACCTGGTTTCCAAGACTGAAGTCTTGCATCACTTCACAGGTGTAAATATTTTTTGACATCTAATGCTACTCCACCCCCTCTGCTGTTTGGTTTGTTTTTCCATTGCTACATTCCAACTATAGGACTCGTCCCACGTTTCAGTTATGAGTATTACATCATAACTGTATTGTTGTGTTAAAAGTTTCAGTTCATATTGTTTATTCCCCATTCTCTAGGCATTAGTGTAAAGACATCTAAGCCTGTGGGACATTCCCTTTAGCTGTTTATTTCATATTGTTGTCTGCTGCTTGGTACTTCTTGTGTTTGTCCAACCCTCACTCCAGGCCTTGATAAACTACTGTTTCCAAGGATATTGTCACCCTACTCCACACAACCTAGTTTAAAGTCCATCTGATCAGGATTGCCAGTCTCTTGGCAAAAACATTTCTTCCTACCTCTGTGCAGACCATCTCATGCCAGAAGCCCATCTTCCTGGAAAAGCAGACCAAGAAACCAAATTGGTCCAGGAAACCAAATTGTTCTTCCTGACACCATCTGCGGAGCCAGTTATTCACCTCTAGAGGACTCTGTTGCAATGTTGCATAAAATGGCTTGTGAAAAAGTATTCAATTGTGTATTCTGTTCAAGATATAGCACTGCTGCATGCTCTATGCTCTTGCTGTATGTGCCCCGGGATGGCTATGAATGTGGCCCAACACAAAATCTTGGCTTTAGTTTTACAGCACTGTGTGGCCCAAGACCATTCTTCTTCCAGTGTAACCGAGGGAAACCAAAAGTTTGGACACACCTGATTTAAATTATAACCATATTTTGTATTTTGAATGTGTGCTCTGCTCTTTCATCATTTCTTCTAATTTTTTCTTCTTGTAAGAACCTTGAGAAAATTATGGAGATTGACTAGTGAGTGCATGCTGGTTGCAAAATCTCTCGATTAACTTGGCACCGCCTTGTGTTCAGTCTTGCATGTTCAAGCTAAAAGAACTATTGGCTTACTTTTCAACCAATTCCACTTTTTCACAGTGCTTCTGGTCCCTAACCCATTAAATAAGCTCAAGATGCCTATATTACATTTAGATAGAGATCTAGAGAATGATTATGAATTTACTCTGTCCATCAAACGTAGATTATGGAATATTACTTTGCTTATCCCTATTTTTCCCAGTTCCTCACAAAGAGGTAATGATTAGCTGATTAGCAATTATTATTCACATTGAATATCCACAAAGAGAACCTTGCATTGGTGACTTGATTCATCTGAAAAGTATGTTTTTAAAAGTATTCCTGTTCAAACCACTAGAGATAGGCTTGAATTATAGTTCCTCGTATGTGTGCTTGGAGCTCATGCATCGATAGTACAGGATGTAACCCATGGAAATGTATAACACAAAAATGTTTTTGTTAAAAATAGGAAATAAGGACATTGTGAGGATTATAATTCCCATTATTGATTTGTCTGTTTGTTTTCATAACTTTCAGTAGATGATGAGTATTTTATTTCTCATATTTTCCTTTCACTTTGTAATTGCAATCCTGTACATCTCTAGACTTGTATAAAACATTTTCTTTCAGTGGGACTCTCATGCACATTTCTGTACGTGGTAACAACCTTAGCCATTTAACAGTTTTCCAAAATTAGATTCCTTCTTCTGAGCAGTGATGCTATTTGGATGGAGATAAATCAATTTCCAGTTTTCCTGTTCTTTCATTTCTTAAATGCTGGTTGTGTTGCTGATTTCTGACCCAGTGATTCTTAGTTTATTTTCAGCACAGAAATGGAGCACAAAATATAAAGCAGCCTAGATGGGGGGCAAGGGCGGGGAGGAGGGAAAATCTGCTTTAAAGCAAGCAGCTTTAAACAGAGCTGTAAGCTTTGTCTTACTCTAAAAGAGAGATTTCACTAAACCGAACTGCAAAGCATTCTGTAAGTTTAATTACTAGATGGAAGGCAAATGCAACATCTGGCAAGAACATCTATTTAAATTACACTTATTGTTATGGTTAGAAGAAATAGTACTTAAAGGAGAATAACATGCATTAAAAGTTGGCTATCCATTGGGAGTTGCAAAAATAAATAAATTTAAGTTATATAAATTATCCTCTTATTTATCATTTATTGTGTTTTTATTTGTTCAGAAAGAAAATGGAATAGTGCTGCAGAACAGATTTCAGCTGCAGTGCAATACTTTGATGCTTAATTTAGTGGTGGGAATAAGCAAGCCAACTTGTTTTGATGATATAAGTGGTTTCCTGAGAATAGATTAATATGATCAAGTTCATTTCTGATTCCTTCTCCCCTGCTTTTCTTACCTAAATTTCTTGATGTCCATAACATTGACATCCATGTTGATTCCAGTGTTATGATTCAGCAGTTTTAAGATTATTTTACCATATCCACATCAATGGATATATATATATATATATATATATATATATATATATATATATATATATATATAATTATCAATGTTATCATTTCTAAAAAAACCTTGTGATGAACTTTATCTTATATTCAGATTTATTTATTATTATTTATATACTGCCTTTCTCACCGGGGGGGGGGGGGCACGGACACAAGGCTGTTTACAACATATTAATAGCAAACGTTCAATGCCAACATAAATGTCTATATAATGTGAATACATTTTTATTTAATTTGTATTCCTAATATATGTATTAAAATATGAACATAATTAATTCATGAGAGACTGTCAGTGAGACATCTTGATTGTTATATAGTTGTATCCTTTCCCTGGTAATTCGGAGTTACTTCCTAGAAGACAGACTTCTTTTACTTCATGTCATATAATAGAATAAATGAATTTGGCATATGCAGTGACAATACATACAAGGCAATACTAGGAAAGCTGTGATGTATAGTTTCTTCTCTAGGCTTAGTGCTTCACACGGACCATTTGTGAAGTATATGTAAGTTTAATGGACTCATGTGAATATTTGAACATACATTTCATACGTAGAATCTTTGAACAGAATGCATAGTGATCCCTGTAAATGCTCTGATTGATCATTTATTATCTATTTTGGACAACTGTTGGTAGCATCTTGAGGGCATGGGACAGGACTTGGTGACTAGATTTGAATACGATAAAGAAAATAAAAATTATTCCTTCAATTTCATTTTTACATAGGATTATGAGACTGCGAGAAATATCTAGCAAGTGATTAGAGGATTTTTCTCCACTGGAAGAATATTTTATTGCAAACAGGCAATTCTAAGCAGAAGTTTGCTGCTTCCAGAAACTTGTGGAGGTGGAACAAACATGCATACAATTTCATATGTGGATGTAACTAAAAATTAGTAGCTAGATGCTTTGTGTGAAGTCTCGGCCTAGTTTTACCCCACTGCTTATTTCCCTGTTTGCTCCCTGGAGGTGGACTGTTCCATTCTGCTAAGTAGAATGGAGCTTAGGATCCCCCTAGAGGCCAAGCTCTGTTGGTTCTGCCCATTCTGGCTCAGAGCTTGGTGGAAGGACCTTTTCTCTCCATTCTTCTTTGACCGAGCTTGTAGTAGTTAGCCAGAAAGTGTCTGGTCTGGCTTGGCAGTCTGGAACAGGCAATCCTTAGCCCGTATTTGTCTCAGAGACCAAAGTTTATAGATGTACATGCCAAAGACCTAAGCAGTACATGTCCCAGAGTTTATAGATGTACTTTCCATGGAAAATAGATGTATATACCTCATAGAATATAGTTTTGTCCTTTACCTCAGAGTTCTACCTTATACCTGTACCTTACTATTCTAATTCTATACCATCAAGAATCAAACTACACTTTTGTGTACCTTGTTTTGATTCACCTTGATTATTCAGTAAACTTAATTGGTTAAATTTAGTCTCTTCTCTAGAGTTTTATTTTGGAGGTATTATAGGGCATACCGATGGTCACTGGGAAAATAGTTGGACACGTATAGTTTCTTATCAATCTTCCCGGCGTGCCATCATACTATGCATCTTTACTAGAAAGTAGTTAACACTGAGTTGATTAGATCACATCCCCAGCTAAATTCATGCAGGATTGTATACTTCCATTGTTCATGAACTGAGAACCCTAGGTGGGGGGGGGGGGGATATAAAACTTGATTAACTGCATTTGGAAGTAATGGTAAAGATAGATGTTTCAATTTATTTATTTTTATTTTATTCTTTGAGAGCCATATTTATTTTTATTTTAGTCACATAGGGCATGTAAGACTAATGATCCTGATAGCTGATTAGTTATGTTTGTTCATTTTCTTAATAGTTCTACATGACATTGCCTTGGATGTTTTCAGGTACAGGCAATTGCAGCTCAGCACAGAAAGCAAAATGGCTGAACTTCTCCATCAGAGCAAACTGAAGTCTTTTGAAAGTGAACACGTGCAACTTCTGCAAGAAGAAACGTCCAGGAACCTTTCACAGTGCCAACTCGAATGTGAAAAGTATCAGCGAAAACTAGAAGTATGTAAGAGAAGCATCAGACAGTTGCAAAGCCCTGTTGATAATGAAATTAAGAATAACAAAATTGTAATGTGGCTCCTTGGAATCTGAACATTGTCGTCCTTTTGTATCAGTGATGATAAGCTGTATCTGTGCAATATGGTTCTAAAAACTATAGCAGTGCCCTAGTTGTACACTCCATCTTCAACTTTCTAGTCCTCTCTTAGATAACTTCTGCTTTAATTTTCACCTGCATAGGTTTTAACCAAAGAATTTTATAATCTGCAAGCAATGAGTGAGAAACGGATTTCAGAACTTCAGGCACAAAATTCTGAATGTCAGACAAGGCTTGACACGTATGAAAAACTGGAAAAAGAACTTGATGAGATAATTATGCAAACTGCAGAAAGTAAGTCCTTCTAAATTAACTTGTTTTTTCTGGAGAACTCTGTTGGAGTACATGTAAAATCTGATAACTTTTAATGAGATTTAGAAGATACGTATTGCAGGAATTTAAAGTATATATTCACCGTGTAGAAGTTTTATATAAATTAACACAAAGTATTATTTTATTGTGCCTTAATTGACAAAGAGAATATTTATTGCAATTTGGTTATCTGCTCAAAGTCCCTTGTACAATGCTTTTGACCAGCTGTAGTCCTGCAAGGCAAGGTTGTCAGATATGTGTGCAAATATTTTGCTTGTTTCTCCTGTCATGTTAGTTTGGCATATGTGGCATTGAGGGTATTGAGAGTGAAAAACAAGCAGAATCTCTCAAGTTACCAATAGCTTAATTTCCCCTTAACATCATAAAGATTTGCCCTTATCCACTTTTTTCGCAATTCAAAGTGCTCACCTTTGAAATACCTGTATGACTAAGGTCTAGGTTGCCTACATTTTGGGATTTTTGAAGGAAAGCTTTCTCTTTCTAATTTTGTTTAGACAGACTTTGGGCCATTCATTTCCTCCTGTGGAAGGATCTTTTAATGGAAGTTCTTTTACTTCTTTCTGTATTCATGTAATGCTTTTAAATTGATTTAATATAGTGCTTTATTTTGATATGATATCCGATCGTTTTATTTTATCTTAGATGTTACAGCTGGTTGTTCTTGTTTTGAGTCATTTTGTAATCTTCTGGCTTGTCTCTTGCACTGAGAGAAAAGAAGGATATAAAATACATACATATCTAACTACTAAAGGATTTCCAGCACTAGCCTCACATCCTGATCGGGTTTTTTTTTGTTTGCCACAGGGACTCACACATAAATGAAATGATAGAGAAAATAAGGAGAATTTTTTTAAACTGATGGATTTTTTTAACCTCAATTTTCATATGCTTTCATCTGCCTTATAGTTCGCCCACAATGCTTAAGCCATCTTAACTATACTCATTAGGATAAGCTCCAGGCTATGTGCATGTCTGGATAGGAGCATCTAGTTGTTAACATATAGTAGGAGTAGGCAAGCTTCAGGGTCCATTTTGCAGCCTGCTGACCTATTGGAAATGGCAGCAGTCCCTCAAAGTAAAGCCAAATATGATTGGAAGATCACTTCCATTTTCAAAAGAGACTTAAGGTGGGTGCTTTTCTTACAGACTTGATTCTCTTGTGAATATTTAGAAAGGAAGTCCCAACAATCTTTTAGCCACTCAAGATCTCCTTGGCAATGATAGAATCTTTCTGTGTACTGGCAGAGAGTGATATGCACCAGCGCACCTCAAATTATCTTATGTGAGAAACTGGTAATTTTGTTTTTCTCAAATTGCAGGGGACCAGCACTATAATTCTATCCATTGGTCATAACTTTTTCTTTCTTTCCTGGAAACCTACCATATAGACCAGCAGCCAATAGCTCAGGGACCAGCACCAGTCCATGCACTATCACTTTGACAATATTGGATGTAGACTTTGAGCATAATCCTTTGTGTAAATGGACAGGAGTAGCAAAATATTACCCAAGGCAGTAGCTAAAATATGAGCAGGCAACAATTCACCAGAAGAGATGCACAGCAGCAAACTTGTGGAGAGGCAAGCAGAAAGTCTCTTTCCTTGGGCAGTGGAGATGATGGTGTTCTTCTCTCTCCCTAAACAGTTCAGGCCCAGACTATTTGAAAAACTGCATTTCCAGGTACAAACCAGCACAAGTGCTGTGGTCTGTGAAGGAGGCCCTCCTCTCTGTCCCACCCCCATCTCAAGTATGGCAGTTGGGAACGAAATACAGGGCCTTCTCCATGATTGCTCCCCGCCTCTGGATCTCCCTCCCTAAAGAATTAAAAATGACCCCCTCTCTCCTCTCCTTTAAAAAGCTTTTTAAAACACATATATGCACTTTAGCCTATGGAGAGGAAGAGGACTAATTGCATCTTATATACACACCACCTCATTGTTCAACATCTACCTTCGTTAACCTGCTGTATACCCTCTTAACTCCAATAATTTTAGTTGTATTTTAAGAGTTTTTAATTATTTAATATTCGCAGTGTGTGGAATGTATTTTTGTCTCGTTTATTTAACCTTTTTTATTTGTTACATGTTATCCTTGGCATTGAATGCTTGCTACTGTGTTTTATTTTGTTGTAAGCCGCCCTGAGTCCCCTTGGAGATATAGGGCGGGCTATATATAAAGCATCATCATCAGTATTATGTGCTGACTCTCCTCAGACACAGCAGGCACTCAGCTTTTATATACTTGAAAATGGGAGATGTGGTCTTCTTGATTGTTAGCCAATAGCTGGTTGAATACCTGGGGCCTTGTTCTACTGGGCATACAGGTGTCTGAAGCAGGAAGCAGTCCACCAGGAGAGATGCAGGGCAGCAGGCAGGCAGGGAGCAGTCTCTTTCCTGAGGTGGTGGAGGTGCTGGTGTTCATCTCCCTCCCAAATGCTAATTTATCCATGAGAATAAGAATGCAGTTTCTCAAAAAGAATATTCAGAAATGGATAGAAGGCTGATATACGTGAAACTTTAGTTTCTTTCCATTATTTGCTATACATGTATAAGGCTGTTATGTGTTTGTTCATGTACAGGCGTTCTGGATAGCTGCCCCTCCTGCTGTCCTTCTGATGGCAGGCTAAAACCTTTTAGACTATTGAACAAAAAAGTTTTTAAGGCTGAGTCAGGGGTTGCTGTGTGGTGTTTTATTTATTTTAAATTTGTTTTGATTATTCATTTTTAGATAGTTCTAGGTTTAATTCTATCTTAATGCTTATTGCCTTTTGGTATTCAATTGTATATTGTATTGTTTTTTGCCACTAAGGTCTCCTTAAGAGAAAAACAGCAGTATATAAATAAATCATAATTATAATACATTGCTTTGTACCGGCCCTCTTTCGCTTGCCTGAATGTCTTTGTTATTAATTTACCTCATGTGTGTATCACCTTCAGATTAATGTCTCCATATCTCAAATGAAAGGTTCTTTGAAGAGTCAATAAATTTCAGCAGATTCAGAATGCTGCAGGGAGAACATACCTTCCCTATCATTATAACTTTACTGGCAACTAGTCCATTTCTGGGCACAATTCAAAGTGCTGGCTATCACTGAAATTTGTGAAAAATTGCTGCCCATCCAAACTTTGTGCAGATTTTGAGGTCTGCAGGGCAAGCTCTTCTCTCAGTCCAACATGGAAAAACTGGAGTCTTTACTGCCCTTTCTAGAATTGGTCGAGATTGAGCATAGGACCTTCTGCATTATTATTATTATTATTATTATTATTATTATTATTATTATTATTAAACTTTATTTGTACCCCGCTAGCATCTCCCGAATGACTCGATGCGGCTTACAAAGGCCAAGGCCTCAACACGCAATATAACAATACAAAACCTAAAGCAAATTAAAAACAATTAAAGCAATATAAACAACAAGCAATAAACAGTACACTAAGACACAATAAAACTGGGCCGGGCCAGAGTAATGGGTACAGGATTAAAAGTGCTGATGTGACAGGAGGTATATAAGGCATATAGGGCAAGTGCAGTGTGCAGTGTGTGGCAATCTTAGTTCTAATAAAGTGCTTATGGGACTTGGTATTGGAGATTTCCTATTCTGGGAAGGCAGAATAAACACATGTGCTCTCTTTATTGTGCTATTGAACTTGCCATGCAGTGGTATATTACTTTGATATCAAAGAAATCAAACTTGTTTTAAGCCTGACAAAACCTTTAGAGAATGAGTGTGTTAGCCCAAACATAGTACAAGTTGAGTCTTCCTCACCTGGAAATCTGAAATACTCCAAATAAAATACAAATCGAAACATTCATCTTTGGGGAAAGGGGGTAGTCATAAATCTAGTGCCTGCTTAATTTATCCTCCAGGAACCCTGACAGAGGGAATATACAAAGGGGAAGGCCTCCACTTATACAAGGTTCCTGTAAAAAGCAGGCATCTCAGGCACATGTCTGCTTGCCTTCCACCCTGCCAGAGGTGCCATAGGTCAAGCCCTTTGGAAATGGCCACAAGGACCTACATGGGGTGACCCCATTGGTCACTGACTGTAGATAACACAGAGAGAGTGAAAAACACAGAGGTATTTTCCCACCCCTTTTTAGCTACTTTGCTAAAAGGTTGAGAAGTTTGCTGACAGCTGAGAAAGCATCTGGGCTGTCTGCTTTATTCAGAAACCTTGTATAAGTGGAATCCTCCTCCTTTCTTCTCTCCGTTGGGGCTCCTTGAGGTAAATCTCAGCAGGTGTTGGATGTAAGTACAGTTCATAAAACCTGTTGCAGAAAAATCTAGATTAATGTCCCCAGTCTGCTATAATCTAATTGAGTGATTTTATTAAAACCACTTTTGTCATATTCAATATCCACTTATAAAATGGGACTATAGCTATCTTTTCATTTGTTGTTACATTATCAGCCCCTGTCAAACTTGGCAGTTGTTTTGTTGTTATCCTAGTACTCATTTAATCAACTCTATCTGTGAATGAGAGTGAGAGAGAGAGAAAAATCCTATTATCCTAAAACATATTTACCACTGTGATTTAAAATACTCAGAAATCACTTCAATGTGTTCATTTTTCATTTCTTTGAGTTTACTGTTGTCAAAAGGCTTATCGAAATAAACTTTATGTTCTTACAGTGTACTCTCTCTCCTCTTCCTCTCTTTCTTTCCCTCTCTCTGTGTTTGCATTTAAATTTGAGAGACTTCTTGCCAAAAATATTTTGTCCTGTACATTTTGTGCTCATAATTATTCTCCTAACTGTGTATAATTATAGTTGCATATGTTGCCAGGAAAAAAGAACACTCACTTCCAAGGCTAAATAGTGCTTGTTTGCTCTTTTATATCATAGATCAGGGAGGGGGCAGGGAAGAGAGATTATTTATATATTTCATAAATGAATGAATAATCTATTAAGAAGACCATTGCTAATCATTTCCTGAAATGATACATTGATATTGCCATGAGACAGTTAAACTCTCAGTCAGTTATTCTTATTTGCTTGCTATTCTGAAAGGCAGGCATTCACTTCCCCTCCACCCTTGGAGAGCAAAATGCAAAAGCAACATGTTGAAATCATGCTGGCCTGGATTTCTGCCTTTTGCCTCTGTGTATCTCTCTTGCAAATTTGGTTTGACTTGAAAGATGACCTGCACTAAAGGATATCCCTATCACATGTACTGAAAAGCAGAGGACTTCACATCAGTTTAAGGATGGGGACTGTGTGACACTCCAGATGATGGAGTGCAACTGCCAACCTCCCTTGGTGTTAGCAGTACTATGGCTAAAAGGCATTGCAATCCAACAGCATCTTGAAGACCACCCATTCTACCACTGTCTTAACAGTTGTGCACTGAAAAAATCATTGTTATTGTTTAATAGTAAACTATCTTCAAGAGATTTAGGTCACTAGATATGCCTAAAGCAGCTGCTGAAAGCCTGTGTTACCTTACTATCACCTCAATTTTCCCTTCTCACTTTGCGTATCCCTGAATTATTTTAGGTGTACTGCATTTCTAAAAGTTGAACATTTCTCAGTCAATACAGATTTGTGAATTGGTTTTTCTATCCTTCTTTCTATATAGGTAATTATTCCATTCAGAACAAGTTGCCATAGATCATACTATCTGGTTTATTTATGTAGTTCAGATTTTTCTATGACACTTTTCCCCTCCTGATGCAATGGGCTAATAAAAGGAAAGAAAGCAGTACATAGATATAAACATGGTAAATGCATGTTAAAATGTTCTCTAAAAATTTTCAAAGCAGTCAGAATTTTTAAAAAATGTTTAAAACAGAGAGGTTTCAGTCATTGAAGGCCATGCATACGGTTTTGACATCTCACTGGAAAAGAGTTGAAGGGAGTTCCACAGTCAAGATGCTATCACCAATCTAACTTCATGAAGTGTTGGGACATACAGCAGGGCCTCTTCTGAGGATCTCAGCTTTCAAGCAGGCTGACGTCTGTATCTCCATATTGATATTGTTCATATTATTATATAATTATAATACTTAATTAACATTACTGTATTAGACTTAAGTAGACTGGTGTCGAGCATGACTGTTGTGTAGTGGTTAAAATGTTGCACAAAGACTAGTGAAGCCCAGGTTAAAATCCAGGTTAATCCAGGTTAAAATCCACCCCAAGCTATCATGGTCCATTACAACCAGGAGACAAAGCATGTGCTTAAAAATTAAGATCACATCCATATACACAAATGATTCAACATAGTTTACTCAGAATTTCACAAATTTAGAACTGTACCAAGATCTTGACCTCACCAAGTTCAAAGTTAGATGAAAGGTTATGTATGTATATTTAGAACGATTGATTGTACTGAGGACCACACTTATGCAACCTCTAGAACAGCATGGACAAATAGTGTCCCAACAGGACTCTGGCCATAATATATACTTAGAAAATATGCATCCAGAAGTTTAAATGCATAAATGAGCACTTTATATTAGGATACATATAATCATCCATACTTTTTGAAATGGTTTAATATTCTCTTCCTTCAGGACTATGGCTTTCTTGTTTGAATCTATCCATCTAAAATACAGTCTTCCTCGTTTTCTACTCTTTTTTTGTCGTGTCAGGAGCGACTTGAAAAACTGCAAGTCGCTTCTGGTGTGAGAGAATTGGCCGTCTGCAAGGACGTTGCCCAGGGGACACCCAGATGATTTTGATGTTTTTATCATCCTTGTGAGAGGCTTCTTTCATGTCCCCGCATGAGGAGCTGGAGCTGATAGAGGGAGCTCGTCCGCCTCTCCCCGGATTCGAACCAGCGTTTCCTACTGCCTTGTGCCTCACCAAGCATTATTGTCTTCTCTAGTGAGTCTTGTCTTCTAATGATATGTCAAAGTACAACAGTCTCACTTTAGTCATCTTGGATTCTTGGGAGAACTTGGGCTTGATTAGCTTTAGTACCCACTTACTTGTATTTTTAGCAGTAGCATCACATTTCAAATGAATTTGTTTTCTTCCTGTCAGCTTTCGTCACTGTCCAGCTTTCACAAGCATACACAGAAATGGGAAATATGATGTAATGGACAATCCATCATATGCTATGGTAATGTCATAATAATTCAGGATCTTGTCTAGTTCCTTCATAGCTATCCTTTCAAATCCTAATTTTCTTTTGATTTCTTCTCCATTCTGGTTAACGACTGAGCGAAGGTTTGGACAATCTTGAACTATTTCTATATCTTCATCATTATTTATTTATTTATTTACAGCTTTTATATTCTGCCCTTCTCACCCCGCAGGGGGCTCAGGGCAGATTACAGTGTACACATATATGGCAAACATTCAATGCCAATTTTGACATACAGACATATACAGACTTACACAGAGGCTATTTAACTTTTTCTGGCCGCCAGGGGAGCTGTCGCTTTCATCGTCCATCTGCCACGCTGATTAAGTACCTCCGCATTCCTTGCATGCTTCCCTGCTGGAGTGCTTCTTTATGGCCTCATAAATTAGTTAATTTTAGCCTCCCCACACTTTTAAGGTGGTGCCTTATTTTCCTACTTGACAGATGCAACTGTCTTTTGGGTTGCAAAGGTCGACAACGGGCTACACAATGGTTGGAAACCCACTCCAACCCGGGCTGGCTACAAACTCATGACCTTTTGGTCGGAGTGATCTTAATGCATCTGACACTCAGCCAGCTGCGCCACAATCCTGGTTCTGTAAATATTCTGTGGTTATTTTTTTTGTTTTCTTAATCCTCAACTGTCAACTTGCATTTGCCTTTTCTTTCTTGACTTTCTTCAGTAATTTTTTCTAGTCTTTGCATATCTTAAACTGCTGGTGTCTCTTCCTCATATTTTCTTCCTCTGAGTCTAATCCTGTGTTACATATGAGATCTTCAACATACACGTTAAACTGATAGGGTGTTAAAATACAGCATTCTCTGGCTCATATCAAATGGAAATTATTCTGTTTCTCTATATTCTGGTCTAATAGTAGCCTCTTGTCCAGGATAGTGTAACAAAGTTCAATTCCTAATACATTAAGAATGCTGAGAGTAATAAATGTCCAAATAGAAATTATGTATATGCTCCTTGACATGATTGTGAGAAGCTGTCCATGTTTATTTCAGACTTGTAAAATAATACTTCTTTATTCATAGAGGAAGCAATGATATTAATTCAATATTAATTGGGTATAGCTGCAATTAGATTGAATTAATACACACGTATTTGAATAAATTAATTATTTTTAACCATGTAGGACTCCTGGTGTTCAGTTGTTAAATAGCATGGGAAACAGAAATCACATGACAGATGATGCTTCCAAAGTTCTGGTTCATCTCTGAAATGGAGAAGCGATCATCCCTGAGTATTTTGTCCCATGGGAATGTTTACTAGGGAGCCAGCAACAGGGAAATTAGTGAGATGGAGACTAGAGCATCCAGTGGCAGAAACTCGGAGCAAATTCGACCAAATATGGCCTGGAGTCTATTGAAACGTCTACTCTGTGTCATTGCATCTGCAGAGTCATCCTCTCAGGGGCGACTATGTCTACTGCCCTAGTCATTTCTCCATTCCAGGAATCAAGGGTGTAGTTAATAGCACTTCTCCCTTTATTAATGACTATGATTTCATTCATCCACTAAAAACAATAAAAATACTACAAGTCTTGTGTCATTTTTTAAAAACAATAGCAGAATAGTGCCGACACAGTCATTGAATTTAAAAGTTCTAGAAGGGTTCCGTATTTGGATGTTGGGGTTTTTGTAACGATTTTTGGGAATCTAGACTCTGTGACTCAATTAAATGTGTGTGTGCCCTTGAAAGTTATGAACTAGCCAGTCATACAAGATTATTGTGAAGAGAAAATGGGTGTTGGGGAGATTATGGCGAGATAACCATATAGGCCACCTGAGCTTCTTGAAGAAAAAGTGAGGTCTAAAAGAAATTCATGATGTACTAAATGATATTGTATTGCATAGCAGTGTCACTGTTGTATTATAAACTCTATATTTTTATATTTATATTTTAATATGCTTTAAAATGTTTTATAAGACAGGCATAGCAAAAAGGAAGCTCATGTTTTTATCTCCCTATCATTTTCTCATTTATTTATTTATCCATTCATTCATAATACTTATATCCTGCTTTTATAGTTCATGGAGGCTTTCAAAGCAGTTTACTACAAATTTCCCTTGATCATCCCTTCTTGTCCAGCAACATTACATTACTCTTTCCTAGATGTTTTTCTGTTTTTCTTTGTATGTTTATAGTTGAAAATGAAGATGAAGCAGAAAGAGTTCTCTTCTCCTATGGATATGGTGCAAATGTTCCTACCACAGCCAAAAGACGGTTGAAGCAAAGGTAAAATCTATATCAGCTCACAGTTCTGTTTGCAATATTTTTTCCCATTCAGTTATGAAATTATATATAACAAGACACTGTTTGGAAACCCATTCTCCAAACATATGCTGCATGTTTTCCATATGATGTATCACTAATATCAGATACAATTATCAAAGTCATCTTGAAGCTTATATTCATTTTTCAAGCTCATCTATAGCATGAAGCACTTTGCTTGCTATGTGTCTCTGACATAGATCATGTAAGGCTAGTTTGCAGGAAGAGGCAGTTGATGAGTGAAGGCTTTAGCCATGGAAGGAAAAATCTGACTTTTTCTAAGCAAGTATAAGTGGCCTTTTCATAATTTCCATAATATTTTACTATACTGAATTTTTGAAGATAAATTGATTGACTTGATTAATTCTGTGACAAACCATGGCATGTAGGTTTTTTAAAGAAACAACATTTATAAGCATTTGATTTTTTTTTAGAATCATATTTAATTCCTCCTTTAATTAGATTGTATGTTACAGCATTTTGAACACCATTGATCAAATAGAAAATTGGACTTGCAATAATGAACCAGTCTTTTAATATTGTAATCCACCGTGCTGGCCTTCACAATAATGCATTCCATTCTGTCTTCCCTTCCTTCACTCATTTTGAATTTCTTCTTCCCTCCATAAGAAAAAGTGGTATGTTTGATTTGTCTTTACCATTGCAGAACATTACTCGATATAAGAAACAATTCTCTAAGTGCCTGCCCTTATGTAAAGATCATAGTAGCATCAATCTTTACAAGAGAAATAACAGCACATGGCAGGGAAGAATAATGAACTGCATAGTTTACAAAAGAACCAATATATTTAAGAGGAAAGTCATGGGTTGCTTCCACAAACAGTTACAGGAAGTAGGCATGTCTGAAACAATAGCAACAACTATGATGATAATGATGATGGTAATGATATTACGCATCTCTCTTCAAGTTGAGATAAAACATAGATCAAAATATAATATACAAGTTTTTTTAAAATAGTGTCAGAAGCGACTTGAGGACATACTGCAAGTCACTTCTGATGTGAGAGAATTGACCGTCTATAGAGACATTGCCCAGGGGATGCCCGGAGGTGTTAGCTGGGAGGCTTCTCTCATGTCCTAGCAAGCTAGAGCTGACAGACAGGAGCTCACCCCATCCAATAATTCAAACAAGCAACTTCAGGTCAGCAACCGAACTTACAGGTCAGCAGTTCAGCCAGCACAAGGGTTTAACCCATTGCACCACTGCAGCTCCTAGAATATAAAAGTAAAACACATAAAACTATTTAAAACACATAGATTAAAACATTACACATTAAAATTACACATTAAACATTACACATTAAAATAATCCACACATAAACTTCAAATGTGCAGGGTGGATTGTATGAGGAGACAGTCCTGCAGGTAACCTAGACCCAAACCATATAGGTGCTTTAAAGGTAATAATCAATACTTTGTATTTTCTCCAGAAACCTATTGGTGAAATTGTAAAAAATGATTAAGGAGAAGATGAATAGGTAAATAAGAAAAAAGCTTCAAGCTAGTATGAGGTTCCAGCAGAGAGGTTTTTAAGATCCACTGCTGAACAAATTGTATCTTCATAACATACTATTTTCAATCAAATGAATTATAATTAAATTAATTCAAACTTAATGAATTCAATAAAAATGAACAATTTTTCATAGAGAGGAGGAATAGATTTAATGACTTCAGTTACATACAATGTAAATGTACTTAAGAAATCATCATGATCAAATTAAATTCTTTTCTTAAAATAAGCAATCATTAAGCAAGATTATAATAAAAAGAGTGACAAACATTGGAAATATCTGAATAAATCTAAGCATTGCTCATCCTCCTAATGACCAAAGCTGACTGCATGGCTACTGAGCAGCAACATTTAGAAGATTGAGAGAAGATTGAGATATTTTGATTTGATGCCATTGAATTTGATTCTAGCATTGAAGAGGCAATCCACCCAAAGGGTATATGACATGACTTGGAAATCTTTCAAGATGTGATGAAGAAAGAAGCTAGTTTCCATTTTAGATTCAAATAGGAAATGTTTTGGATTATTTTAAGATTGACACGACAAAGTTTCATGCCAAACACTTTTAAAAAGCAAATGGCAGTGTTGTCAACTATTTTGGTGCGTAGAGTCAGGCTCTTTCCAATTATCTTCATGTAAAAACATTTTTGAAGGAGATTTGGATTTAGTATTAAATGTATTAACAAAACTTCCATTTCAGCCACTGCATAGAACAACGCTGAGGATTTTGGCACTAAACATAGCACTTTAGTCACAGTTATTTCAATAAGAAGAGTGTCTCACATGACTTTTCTGTCTGTCTTGTGCAGATTTGAGGAGGACAAAGTGACACTGACTTTAGGTCCAACATTCATTCTAAAAAGTCTGTATATTAAACGTTTGGATAGAACTATACTCTTGCCAACGTTTTGGTAAAAAGAAAACCCAACTCATCAGTTAGAAATGCATTAGCACTCCACAGATATTAGGAGAGCTCTAAAATGTATATAAAGAGGTCAAGTTAAATACAATATATAGAAGCCCTATTTGTTTGCTGTCTTCCAACAACTATGGGTAATAAAGCTTCAAAATTATGTTAGCAAGATGGATTTAAGCTTTCATTTTCCTATGTTATGACTCTTGGAAAGTGCAGAGGCCTAATAATGTGTAGGTACATTCAGCCAGATCCATAAGGCATTACAAGTTAGACTTGTATAAAACTGCTCAGGTGGTATTTGGAAGGACTGTATTACAAGCAGAAAACATTGATATGTAGTATAAAGTGAACACACTTGCAAATACGGCCTTTGTATATCCCATGAATTATTATTCCTAGATGACTGAATGAGAAGTCCACTGCCACTCAGAATTTTAAAGACAGTAAATCTTTTCTACAGTTCTAATATACTTTGAATAATATATCTGACCAAACATATCTAGCAAAGCTTTATAAATAAACTGATAAGTGAGAGTGTAGAAACAGAAAATAACTTTGGATGCCTGCCTTGATCAGCTGGCATGAGGGGAAACCCATGAATCTGGATTGCTCATGCAATTTTCCAAGAATGATCATTCATGGTGAGCCCCAATCTCTCATTTCCCCTGCAACAAACATATGTACTCACTACTTTTGGATAGGGACAATAGTTATTTTAGAACTTGGAACAATTAATGCTTTGTGAGCTCATCTGGAAGGGTCCTTTTTTTCATAGTCTTGTCTAAAGACTGTAGAAATCTGGAAATTCTGTATCTTAAAGTTAACAGATTTATTATGGCATAAGCTTCCATAGGGAAGATCCCAGGCATAAAATGCCATCCTAATTAAATGGATGCATTGAAATAGCCTCTGGTTCTTCAAAGCTGAGTGCCATAATCAACTTGTTAGCATTCAAGTTTTCACAAGATTCTGTTTTTGTTAACATAGTATTATTTTTGTGTGTGTGTGTGTGTGTGTAATTTGTAGCATCAGACTAACACAGCAAGAAGATCTAATTCTGACATAACACACTATTGCTTCCTCATGAACCTCTGCATAAGTCAGAAAAAAAGAAGTAAAAATAATTATTTTTATTTAAACTATTAAAACAAAACCTACATATAAAAATGAAACAATATCAACAACAAGAAAAGATTAAAATGCTTTTTCTAGAATAATATTACTACATCTTTAACATTTAAAAAACCCCAATAACTACAAACAATCTACATTATCTAATCTAAGGGCTTTACACTATCTGTCTCGTGGCTATATTCCCTCGGTTTTCTATACCCATTTGTCTTTACTAAATGGGTGTAAAAAATCTATTTGGCTTGCATTCTGTGTTTTCCATTTTATGGTACTGAGTTTTATGATATTATATTTTATCTGGCTGTTTTAACTGTATTGTACCCCACCTCAGGTTGTGAGTAGAGGCAGGTAACAAATAAAAGTAGTTGTTATTGTTGTTATTTCTATTTATCTTTTTCCTTTTTGATGAACCCAGAGTGCGGAGGAACACATTTTTAGGTACAAAGTATACACTTAGGTCTAAATCAACCATGGTATCCTTCTGGGTCACCTTGCTAAGAGGGGACTTGGAGACACTGTCTAACAGTGGTTTTGTTTCTTCCTAAAAGGGTGACCTAGGGGACTTATGTCTGAATCCTTGGATGTTGGCTTGTGGAGCCCCCATACTGTTCAACATATACATGAAACCACTAGGACTGGTAATCCTGAGATTTGGAGTTTAGTATTGTCTGTATGGAGATGACACCCAACTCTACTACTCCTTTCCACCTAAAGCCAAGGAAACTATCCTGGTCCTAAACTAATGTCTGTCATCAATAATGGACTGGATATGGGAAAACAAATTAAAACTTAATCCAGACAAGACAGAGGTGCTCCTAATTAGTTGGAAGGCAAATCAGGGGGTAGGGATTCAGCATGTCTTAGATGGGGATGCACTCCTGAAGACACAGGTTCAGTTTGGGATACTCTTGGACTTGGCATTGAACCTGGAGGCCCAGGTTTCTGCAGTGGCTAGGACCACCTTTGCACATTTAAACTTATGCACCAAAACACCCATTACATTCCTTAGTAACATCTCATTGGATTACAGTAAGGTGCTCCATGCGGGGCTGCATATGAAGACTGTTCAGAAACTGCAGCTGATTCAAAGAGCTGCAGCCACATTGTTAACCAGGGCTAGCTAAAGGGAACATACAACTGTTGCAACAACTTCACTGGCTGCAAGTCTGTTTCCGGGCGTAATTAAATATGCTGGTTATGACCTATAAACAGCTGTACGGCTCAGGTCCAGACTATTTGGAAGAACATATATTCCTGTAAGAACCTTACAGGACTCTGAGAAGCCCTTCTCTCAGTTCCACCTTCATCACAACTGCAGTTTCGGGGACTGTGAGAGAGGGCCTTCTTGGTGGCTGCCCCTTGACTCTGGAATTCCTTGCCCAGGGAAGCCAGAATGGCCCCCTCCCTCCTGTCCTTCTTACAGTAGGAGACAACCTTTTCAGACAAGTCTTTGAAGAAGCAAGTTCTTAAGACCGGGACAAGCGGTGCTGTGAAGTGCTTTGGGTATATGAATAGGCTTTTAATGGTTTTACTTGTTTATTTTTAAATCGTGTTTAGTGTAATTCTTAATCAAAAGCAATCACCAATGTCTCTCAGTAGGAACGACAGTGTAAATTGACACTTGAAAGAACAAAACCCAAAAGGGGAATGAAGCACTAAAGCCTGAGTCAAAGAAGGCCTGTGGGGCACTCCTTAAGAATTATTATGATCTTTGTTTCACACCTTTCTTTTTTAAAATCAAGTTTCCAACAAGACAATACTTTGCTATGCACTACAGCAGTCTTTCTCAACCTGGGGGTCGGGACCTCTGGGGGGGTCACGAGGGTGTGTCAGAGGGGTTGCCAAACACCATCAGAAAACACATATTTCCAATAGTCTTAGGAACCCCTTTAGCAGAGGAGGCTGAAGATCTCTCTGCCTGTCCTTCTCTTCCTTTTTGGAAATATTTTCTGTTGGTCACTGGGGTTCTGTATGCTAATAATATAATATAATATAATATAATATAATATATTGTATGTATATATATCTTGTAAGCCGCTCTGGGTCTCCTTTGGGGTGAGAAGGGTGGCATATAAATGTTGTAAATAAATAAATAGGCGAACTATAAATCTCAGAAACTACAACTCCCAAATGTCAAGGTCTATTTTCCCCCAAACTCCACCAGTGCTCACATTTGAGCATATGGAGTATTTGTGCCAAGTTTGGTCCAGATCTATCATTGTTTCAGTCCACAGTGTTCTCTGGATGTAGGTGAACTACAACTCCTAAACTCAAAGTCAATGCCCACCAAATTGTTTTAGTATTTTCTGTTGGTCGTGGGAGTTCTGTGTGCCAGTGAATGAAGATACATCCTGTATATCAGATATTTGCATTAACATTCATAACAGTAGCAAAATTGCAGTTATGAAGTAACAGTAATGATAATGTTATGGTTGGGGGTCACCACAACAAGAGGAACTGTATTAAGGGGTCACAGCATTAAGAAGGTTGAGAACAACTGCACTACAGTGTCTCACCATTGTTTTATGTGATTTAGCATATTTTTTTGCTATGGTATGTGAACATGTCTCCACATGCATACACTTTTTTCTGGTTTTTTTTTTTTATAATTTTCTGTTACTTAAACAAAATACCATTGAATTGGCCAACAGCAGTCTTCGCCTAGACTTTCTTAATTATGAGAGAAAATATCATTTCCACTATATTAAATCTCAATCATCTACCCCACCCCGTGTGTGTGTGTGTGTGTGTGTGTGTGTGTGTGTGTGTGTGTGTGTGTTTGTGTGTGTGTGTGTGTGTGTGATGGAGTGCACATGTGTGTTTCAAAGCCTCCCAATGCCTCACATGGCTTTCTGTGTCAACATTTTACATGGCCGTTGCTTGATATGGCTATTACTGTATTCATATGAAGAATCAGTCAGATACAGCAAGTTGATCTGTTTGGCTAAATGTCTGGCTTTTTCATTTATACAGATCAACACTCAAAATGCAGAGCTGCTACTGTAAGTCAGCAATCTCAAATTGCTGAAAGCTGTGCTTAGCTTCAGAAAGTGAAACCAATAGCAGCCTTCACCTTGTTTTTAGCTGCTTGTCCATTCTCTCGCCTCCGCCCACCATCCCCACATTCGGTTTCTTACACAGAATATTTCAGTCTCAGGTCACACTGCAATAAATACACATTACCTACATGTACTGTGTGCCTTTCTGCAATAAGTACAAGTAAACATTTCCCAAAGAAGTAATGACTGCTATAAACTCCCTCTTTCTGGGACACACTGAAGTATTGTACACATTCCAAGAGGCCTTCTTGTTTGAAACAAAAAACCAATTTACCTATGCTTGACTGCACTAAAGCATATAAAGTGTTCATTTTAGAGGAAAAATGGTTTGAAAACAGCAGAAAGATTTCCTGGCTGTTCATTTTGCTTGTTCTATAAATAGCCTTCACCTGAAAAAGAAAATTTCAAAGTGATTCTATTTATCAGTTTGCTTTCAGAATTGATTTAAAACATCACAGTCATCATAAAAGAAGTTTTAAAAACCTGAATTGTTTTCTACAAGCACACTCTTTATTCTGTATTTCATTATTCTTTGTTACAGAGCTAATTCATGTTTTAAACCGTGTTTGCCATCTGCAAGACTGTTTGCAGCTATAAGCATTCTAGACTATGGAAGTAGATGCCCATGAGTACAGATCATTCAAACTCTCCAGCACATTTTTTTTAATACACACATCTCCTTGACACTATTAAACTGTTAGTTCTGTAAACACTGGAGTAAATCTGTTCTGCTAGTGGAAATCTATTTTCCTCTCTCCTATTTTCAGCATACTGAGATACTTGAACATTGGCTGTGGGATTTTCCCAACTTTATACCTTCTCTAGAAAGTCCCTGGTGTATAGCAACCAACCATGTCTCAGAAAGGAATAGGTCACACAAGAGGGACAGCAAAACTGGTCATGTTCACATGAGGGAGACTGATTCTTCAAGGGTGTATGGAATGCCCACTGTCTGCACATGATACTATCATGCTTGTATTTATTACTCATTGGTTAGAGCACAAAAGCATTCTTCACACAGAGTGGGCCATGCTTCCATTAAAATCTTTGTATCTCAGTCAGGGCTTAAATAAGTTTAATTTTGTCTGTGTTCTGTTCAACATGCACAGGCAGTCTCCGAGTTAAAAACACCCGACTTGCGTGTGACTTCTAGTTACAAATGGGAGTGAGACAATAGAAAGTGAGAGGAAATCTACCCCTAGGAAGGGAAATCCACTCCTGCAAGAGTTATTGGGAAAGGGTGCCTTCACTGAAGCTTTATTACCAATCTTTGTTTCCACAACAAGCCAAAATTTTCAAAATCCAATTGTCACAGGGACAGAAAGTGAGGTGAAATCTTCTGAACAGGGGCACAGACAGCAAAACAAACACCACAGGAGTATTAACCCTTCCATATGCTATATAAAATTAAACAGGAATCTGGAGTTACACTTAAAAGGTGTACCTGTTCCAACCTACAAACAAATTCAACTTAAGAACAAACCTACAGACCCAGTCTGTAGGGACTGCCTGTATTATCATTATTGTACACTGAAATACCCAACAAAAATAATAAAGTTCAGCCCCATAAATGATATTTTATAGAGAAACCTCTGAATAAGTCTAGAGATATTTTGTGCTCAAACAAAAAGATAACTACCACACCTCCCATTATTTTGAATACAATACGCTTTCTCCTTTTTCCAGACTGTGTTTATTTGACAATAAATCCCTCACATTCATATCACTTGCAAAAAGAAAATAACATATACTGTACTGAGTAAACAAACTTTGTTTTCTTCAATATTCTTCCATGTTTTTCTTTCTTTTATAAAAATAAATTGCTTCATATGTTTACTCCAGTGGTTTTATAATTTACTATAGCTTAGATAAGTGCAAGCAGTAGAGACGCTTTTTCGTAATGATTGCCTAAAGGTAATTATGTGGTCCATGATGCTCTTTGATAATTATCTGAAATGCAATAGATAGTGGCCTTTGCTCATGAAAGCACAGAGACATGATTATGCTATCAGAAAGAAAAGAAGCATTGAAGACTGCTCTACTTCTAACTTACTTAAAGCTTCATGTGTAGGCTGTCACCTTCCAGTTGGAGAGCAGGGAAATAATCCCTCTTGGTCCCTAAATGAAATGAGGTCCACCTACATTCAAATTTCTGATTAATTTTATAGGAAAATCTTCAAAGTAAGTTCACTAAAATTATTAGCCACCCAAATACCTTTCTTTCCTGCTTCCTTGCGCAGATGGGTGACGGTCTGTTCTCACATTGTGACACAAATGCTGGGCAGCTGTGTTATTAGATCACAACTGTCTATAAACTAAGATTATTTTAAATTTTAAAATATTTTATTTCCTGTTATGCATGTTAATGTTCTTCCATTATTAATATTTTAATTAATTTTGACAATAAAAACACACAAGAAAAGCACCAACATTATAAGTTCATAAACATACACATACAATTGCTTAACAAACATACACCTCCACCTGTTTACTCTAAAACTACCAACATATACATACATTTGTTTTCTTCTCTTTTGTTGGTTTGTCTATAAATTTAACATTTTCTTCCTCATTATATCCAGAAAATTGTTTATTTCTGTTTGTTTTAACATTTATAAGTAAATGTTACCATGTTCATGCATGTTAATATGTTAATGCGAGTTAAATATAAGTTCTGTATGCCTTCATTTGTCATTTTTTGGAAGACATTTCATTTGAGCTGTTCTTTTTCCTTTTGACACAGTTGTCATTTGGCTAGAAGGCTATTGCAACTTGAAAAGCAGAACACATTACTTGTAAAGGATCTGGAACATCATAAGGAACAAGTTACTCAGATCTCACAAGAGGTATACAACTCCTGAGATAAAGGCTCACATGTGTATGCGTGCACTCTCCCCGTCTCTTTTACACATGCACACACACACACAAATATAGTGTATAATGGACTGGGATTTCAAAGTAGCATTTTAACATGTACTTGTTTGGACAATTGAGGAAAACACATACATGCTAATCCGTTTCAGAGCAATTTATATTGAATTAAAGCAAAGATGAAAAGATAGATTACTTCGCAGACTAAACAAAAATGCAGACTAGACAGATAAGTCTCTGTTTTCTGAACAGAAAAAGAACTAGCAAAACTGGTTCAATGTTCTTGGGGTATTTTTTTCATGTAATACTGCTATTTTATTCAGTTGCTTTCACTTATCTGCAAACTCATCTGTTTTTTCAAACTTGTTGGTATTCTGAGATTTTTATAGCCCACCTTTTCTATCACTCATAACATTGAAAAGTTTGATTTGCATTTCCTGAGTTTACTGTTTTTGTGTGAAACTTTGGACTATTATTTTATTGATAATTTGGGTAATGTAGTTTGATTAGCTACTAAGGCTATGCAATCAATTAAAAATGTTTTGAAAGTCATTACAAAATTAGGGGGCACCGATGTTTTGTTCCTAAAGTATCATTAGTAAAAAAAAATGTTACTATTATGGTCGTAATGAAATTTCATTACTATTTTGTTAAAGTAATTTCAAGGGGGAGGGGATTCCGTGGCTCTTTTCTCCCTCAGTTTTAGGGCTGTTGGGGTGAAACTTGTTAGAATGGTAGAACATGTTTAACACAGTGCCCCACTGCCCCAGTATCAGAACATTTAACTCATCTATTGGTTTTGAGGATTTTTTTTTTTTTAAAACAGACTACATGAGCTATTTCTTGGAATGTTTTTAGAGATTATACTAGTGCTAGAAAAAAACAGCTAAGGTAACTTGTGCCAGAGTTAAACAAGTAGTTGTGTTCTTTTTTGCTGCATTACGCACACAGAGATCACACTAGTGCTAGAAAATGCTGCCAATGCAAGTTGTGGCTGGGTGAAAAAAAATGTTTATGTGCTTTTTAGCTCTATGCGCACACAGTACACAGAGAACAATGTAGCCCAGGCAATAATCCTCAAAGATGTCCTAAAATGTAGCATAAATATAAAACAGACATAAGACAAAAAGCGCCCACCCGTCCACTCCAAAAAAGAATAAGCAAGCCCCTGCCTCAGTATCTTTACCGCATACAAAGCTTCTCTCTCCTTCTCTTTTCCCACCGCAAAGAGTCAGCCTCAGATACAGTAAGCTATAAGCTAAGCAGCAGCTAATGGAGTCTCCCCCTCTTTTTTCTCTGGTGCAACCCTGTATCCTATTCCTGCCTGCCTGCCTGTTTGGAAAGCTAACCCGGGGTGAAGCTCCTCTCTCTTTCCCTTCCTGATCACAAGTGGAGGGTGTGGCAAGGCACTGGGGAATTTAAAGAGCAATGCCTCTGCCTCCCCCCCCCCTCCCCAGTCCTGATTGGCTGAGAGTCTTAGCAACATGTTTGGCTTCACCTCCCAGTAGATATTGGTTGCTCTATAAATTAAAACTGCATCACAGAGAGCTACAATGTCTTTGCAACTTAAGAAAAAATACTAGGCTAAAGTTTTGATTCTTAATTTTTTGGCACATATGACACTTGGGAATTTGACCCAACTTACGACAAGTTAACGAAAAATTTGCAGAGCCCTATCAGCTAGAGAAACTGAAACCTTTTACATTCTTTAGGACTAACATAAGTATCATTGATGTCAACAATATTTCTCTTATTTATGAACTAGTTGGATCTAACCCAATAAAGTCATATATTGCAGCATTATTTTTCTTTACGAAAAAAATGTTGACATGTTGGAGAAAATATTACCAAATAATTATTCTGTGAATTATGCAACTGGTTATTGCAAAAAGAAAGAAAAATAAATAAATAAATATGGCACACATATTAGATTATCATGTTTCAGTGGATGATTAAATATGGATCCTCCACAGACAGAAGTTGATACGAAAAATTTAATTATATGTAATTATGATTCTTCAAGTGGTTGTTCTGCATTCACATACATAGTTTGTTTTGTGCCTGCGCAGAGCCTATTGGAAACTGAGTGCTGGCCAAATTATTTTGGACAAGAACCTCACCCATACGAGTGTTTATATCTGAACAGGGTTCCCACTCTTCCCCTGAGTACTTAAACCCACAAGATGGAAATGAAATGTGTCAATATTAAAGGGAGCAAATTGTGTGAGTTTACAGATAACTCAGAAAATTACAGTTTCAGCTAAGCATCCTGTTAATTCTTCTTCATGGTTTCATGACTTTAAAATGGGTAACTAACTGGACAACTGACACACAGAAGATAATATTGCTCTCCCAAATGCAGTATTGTGTTATGCCCTTATGTCACCTGAAAATAGTAGATCAAGGTAGAGAACTATGCAAATCTAGCAGAATGAAATAATTTTGCACTAACACAGTAGTTTTCAACCTGTGGGTCCCCAGATGTTTTGGCTTTCAGCTCCCAAAATCCTAACAGCTGGTAAACTGGCTGGGATTTCTGAGAGTTGAATTGAAAGAGGGGGTGTGACTTGCCTAAGACCATCTACTGGGTTTTTGTTTTTTTTTTTGTGGGCGGGAGCCATGACCTAGTTATCCTTAATGGGAGCTGGTCAGAGATTCAGAATTAATGGATAAAGTGATATTTTCATAAATACCTGTGAAGTATAGCATCAAATTTGATCTGATATCTTTTATTTTTACAATATAGAATCGGTGTTGCACATAATATCAAAATAATGTAAAAGGACATAATTAAATAGAACAAGTGAACATGGGTAGCACATTCCGTTTTGTAAAGTCCTTTTCATTTAGCCATTTCATGCTTCTTTGTCTAGTATTAACTGACTGGGAATTGCATTTTTACTGAGTAAACAGTAGGCTGAACCAGAAACAAGTAAGCCTGTCAAAATGTGCTGACTTCATGTCTGAAATTACTGTTGAGGTTTATTCTAAATATTGTGTGCATTTAGGTCCAATGTATGCCTTTTAAAATAGTGTTCAGGGGTGTTTTGCAATATAGTTTTTATATATTAAGTGTAAATAATTTTTGCTCCCTGAAATATAAAGAGTAATTTATTTTTCTTAATTTTTTTCTCAGAGAGATAATGTTAATTCTTTGTTGAACCAAGTGCAACAGCCTTATAGGTACCTCATTGATTCTGTACAACAGAGAGATTCTCAGATACTTTCGCAGAAAGAACGTATCGCACAACTTGAGAAGGATGTTACGTAAGTGTTAAAAATTAAACAGAGATGATTTTTGTTGGATTTTGGGGTTATTTCTCTACCTGTCAGCCCTATTTTAATGGCAGAACATATTAAGTTCCTTTGATCCCAAGCTTTGTTTGCAACTGATCTTTTTATTGGTTGTCAGTGCTATAAAAACTGTTGCATGTGTAGATTGCTCTTCAATTTGTTATGTATGCTGGTTGCACCATTAATTGCAAAAACAGTTTTACTTTTCATCTTGAGCAAGCCAATTTTACAAAGCATTACTATACTGCATTAAATAACCATTTCAAGGTGGTAATTAGCAGAGACATTTAAAAGCTGTATTGTCATCATAGTTACGTACATGTCTCATGTACCTTCTTGAGAGTCAAGGAGCATGAATTACTCATGCCACCTTTTCACAATGCTAGCAACCTAAATGTAAGATTACATCTATCTTATTAGTGATCTGTCTATTCATGTTAAATATTCTTACATGAATGAGTATTAGGTGGCCTTTCAGATATTGCTGGACTACAACTCCTAGCAGCTCTAGTCAACAATAGCAAGGGAGAGAAATGCTAGCGGCTGTATGATTCCCAACTCTGACAGGTCCAAAGATGGGAGCCATTACATTCCAAGTCAAGTGTCACTTGACTTGGAATGTACTGTAATAGCTCCAGCCCAGTTTATGGTCTTTCTCTGTATTTTTCTGACCTTTTGTGATATATAAAACCACTTTTTTCAGTCTCTGTTCTACATATAATTTTCCCTAGAGGGAGCAGTTATCAAAGACAGTAAGGCATTTTCAACTCTCTAGAAGCTTCTGTAGTACCCAGATTATTTATTTATTTATTATTCAAACTTATATGCCACCACTCCCCTGGGGCTCGGAGCGGTTTACAAGAACAGGCTAAAATCTAACACAATTTAAAAACAATTTAAAACAATTTAAAAACAACAATTTCAAAGATCAAAGGCCTGTCGAAACAAATATGTCTTACATGCCCTGCGGAAAGCTGATAGGTCCCTCAAGGCACGGACTTCAGGTGGCAGAGTATTCCAGAGTGATGGTGCCACTGCTGTAAAGGCACTGTGTCTGGTTACTGTTAGACGCAAGGTCTTGACACTGGGAATTTCCAATAGTAGGCTGGCAAACATTATCTTAAAACAACACCTGTATCCACTTGCAGCAGTGTGATATTTCAACTATTAACCATAAAACCAATTAATTTCTTAAACAGCCTTCTGATTACACCAGTGCCTCTATGAATTAAGGCTGTCTTTCCCCACAAATTCTCTTGAGTAGCCACAAAAAAGTCCTTTTTTGGGAAAGGGTCTTCATTTTCATGGAGATACAAGTATGGTAGGCAAGTGGGAATGCCAAGAGCTCTCAAGCTGCTTGTTTCTCCTTGATTCTTCCATAAGGGAGAAATAAGTAATTTATATATGCTTCTGAAGAGTAAATTGTCACAGGGAATCATCCTTTGGAAGTTGTAAATCTTGGGATGGCACAGAGGAATAATTCACCATGGTTGGTTTTATCCCCTCATGACAGCCAAACGCGGTAGGACTACTTCCTTTTTCAATTACAGCTTTGAGAACTTTCTTCTAATCCAAAAGGTTTTTTTTTATTTGCCCAATCAACCTGACGTAGGTTTACTCTTCTCCAACACTACTTGGATTTTCATATTAAAATTGGTTAAAAAAAAAGAAGCATGGAGGGGGGAGGGGAAATAAGGAGGCAACAGAAGTTCACTGTAAGGCGACAGCGGGTGTCTCCTGAATTGTTTGGGGATGGAAGACAGGCGTGTCCAGATTTTGTGTTCTTGGGGTCATTTTTAACTATGAATTTGAAACTCATGCCCTGTGTTTACTGTACTTTAATCTCGTTCTGTGCATTTTAATATATGCATTTCATAGAAATAAGTTTTAATATATGTATATACATAATATTTTATGATGATGTGTTTATCTATGTTATGCCCCACTAGGAATGGCAGGTAGGAAATAAAATAAAATACTAATAACTATTATTGTTATTTTTATTTACAGCTTGATAGGAAGACAGTGTCAATCCACTTCGAAATGCAGCTTGCCATAAAAGCCTTTTTACCTAATTAGCATGAATTAGAGTCAACTTTAAGGCATATAGCACCTTGTCCAAATGTTCTCATTCTTTGACACCTCTGGTCTAAAAGCCTTTTACTATTTCACCTTAGTGCCTTTAGGTCTTTTTTTTATCTAGAAATATTCAAACAGGAAATTTGTGTGCTCAATATATCACACATGATCATGATGTGCATCCAATTTTTCCTTGTAAACAAACATTTTAGTTCGTTCAGTATGCCTTATATATCTTCTTATCAATGCCATAATTCTTCCTTTAAGCCCTCCTTTCACATCCTCCTTGAACTCTGGTGGCCAGAATTGTGCCTTGAATACTGCTGTAAATCAAACTGTGCTTAATTTATTGTGCTTTTTTCTGGATAGAGTTATATTAAAGAAAATTAGTCCAGCTGTGTCAGCTTTCTCATTTGATTTTTAGAGCAAATAAAAAACCAGTTAAACCAGTATACTGAACATTTGCAATGACTTTAGCCTATTGAAGTCACTGGTATTAGTTTAAAATGTTCTGTAGATCACAAGCTAAAGTAAGCATTTGTGCCTTCCTTTTTACAATATAAATATACCAGTTTTTAACTAGGACAGTTTTTCTTTATGCTGTTGCTTCAGCATGTGTTCACAGTTGCCAACAATTTGCTTTAAAAATTCATGTCCCAACCAGAATAAAAGATTAAAAGAAATCACCCTTGCTATTACTGTATTTCTTAATACTTTCCCCTTTTTTGCCAGTGTTTTGAGTAAAGAAAAGACGTCTTTGCTTCATGTCAAGAATCAAATGGCAGCAGATTTAGAAAGACTTCTAAATCACAGTGAGGTAATCTTGTTTTTATTACTTCCCCCTAACCTATTAGTCAAATGAATGTGTCCTTTTTGCTAGTTTTAGAAATATACTTTTATAAATCCCCAGCAAAGCGGTTCCTTCATAGTATATTGAATTCCTTCCCCCATCCCATGTTCAACCCCTTGAATCCATTAATTCAGTTAGTATTCTTAAGATAATTATTAATTTCAGTGTGGCTGGCATTGAAACATGGGCCATTCTGACTTAAAATGATAGTCTCTATAACAAATAGTAGCTCATACAAAAACTATTAACATTGCATCTCGTTCCCACCTACTTTGGGCAAATCAGAGAAACGCCTCAATTCCATCACAACAAGGGGGCATAGAGGGGTATTATTCTGTGTAATCACTTCACCATTTGGCATTTACCATATATACTCAAGTATAAGCCCCCTTTTTAGGCTGAAAAAGCCCCCCTTGGCTTATATTTGAGTCAGGGTTATTTATTATTTTACTCTGTTGTTGTTGTTGTTGTTACATTTATTATTTTTCTTTCTTTATTATTATTACATTTATTATTTTACTTTATTATTACTGTTATTTCATTTCCATTATTTTACTCTATTATTATTTTTTACATTTATTATTTTACTCTCTTTATTATTACTGGAAGAATAGGTAAGCATATTTACACTGAAGAAGGTTAGAATAATTGTTTAATCAGTGTTGGACCGTCTTCTCTTAAATTACAGTTTTCTGTAAATATTAAAAAAAACATTTAACCTACTGATGCCTCAATTAATGTAATTTTATTGGTATCTATTTTTATCTTGAAATTTACCAGTAGCTGCTGCATTTCCCACCCTTGGCTTATATTCGAGTCAATATGTTTACCCGGTTTTTGTGGTAAAATTAGGTGCCTTGGCATATATACGGTTATTTATTTGGGGAAATGTATCCTGCCATAGATTTTTGCTACTCAAAAGGCTCCTGCAGAGACACAACTTTGTTTTCCCCAACACAACTGGGGAAACAAGGGGATTTTGACTTATCTTATGGTTTAGTATCATATCAACAAGCCAGGAAGAGTTTTAGGTGCACCTACAACTATAGAATTAATCCAGTTTAACACCACTTTAATTGCAATGTCTCAAGACAATTGAATTCTAGGAATTATAGTTTAGCAAGGCATTAGCACTCTTTGGCAGAGAGGGTATAAAGAAATCAGGGGAATCCCACTTATGATCTAATAATAGAGGCTTCTTTAAAAGTTGAATAGAGAAAAGATTTATTTATAAGAACAAACAAACATACAACAGACTTCTTCTAAGAGGCACAAAAGCTTAACTTGTTACTAAGGTACAATTTCTTAATGGTTTCTTAAAAAGTGTTACTTGACTTGGTTACTAACAAAATTCCTCACTCTACTTTAACGAAATAGCAGTGAGTACCAGACTAACCTAACTCAGGCTGTCTACAGAGCAATTAGCCCACTCTAACCAGAGTACTCTACAGCTAATCTACTCCACCCAGAGAGCAAACCACTTGTGTTGTCACCCACAAGTAAACCAGGAGGCTACTTGACTCTTCTGGCCAATAATGCAACCTTGCTTGTCACAAATGCTCTCTCTCAGTAAAACCTAGTCTCTCAAGTACCTCTTCTTTCTTCAGTTCCCAAATCCCAACTCCTCCTCTCTCTTAGAAGCTGTCACTTTTTCCCTCCTCGGACTTGGCTCCTCCCATCTACTCTAGCCAATCCCAGGAGACCTCCAGCTCCTCCCCTCTTCTAACTTTCCACTCTCGAGATGTCTGCTTCCCTGGCTTACACTCACAACATGGAGGTTTGCCTTACTGTTATCCCAGGCTTCTACTCCAGTCTACTAGGTAAGAGTAATTCCAGAGGGCTAAAGACCTTGTAAATCTTCAGCTTGCACAACTCCATAGAATTGAGGCATGACAGTTAAAGTAGTGTCAAACTGCATTAAATCTACAATGTAGATGCATCCTCAGATTTTCATACTCCTGCCTCCCCCTTGCTGGTGGCAGGTACTAAATAGGGATAAGGAGAAGCAGAGGCGGTCATGCTGGATAAATGATAGAATGTGAGAGACAATCACTGAGTCTTTGCCAGAATGATTTCACATTATAGCCAAAGAAGGCTCTTCTCGCACCCGCCCCCACTTTTCACTGCAAGAGTCCTGAGTCTACTACACTAGGAAAGAGATGACCATCGGGGCAAAGTCACCCCATGGGACCATCTAATTCTTCCCCAAGATTATGCTGACCTTGCAGCTTTCTGAAGGAAGCAGCTACCTATAATTAGGACAAGTTGATGATGAATGCAGGCAATGAATGTTGACTCTTTCACCATAATGAATTGCCTTTCTTCATCATGCTCAAAAGATACCAAGATCTGATTTTTTTATACATATGACAAGCTCAATGTTTGGTATATTGGTGCCATTTTAGATATTACTTCAGTTGAGCAATTAAGTTAATTCTCTGTGCTGATAATTTCTTTCCCTTTTAAATTAGTGCATTACCCTTTATCCTGCTTTACAAATGTGTTCAAACTATAACTGTGTCAGCAATGTACTTTCAGATTCTCAAAAAAAGGTTCTCTTATATTACAGCGAACTTGTACTTTATGTTAGGAACACTTTGTACATTCATTTCCATTAAATGCCACCAACTGTCTCTTAATACATTTATTGAAAGCCACTGTCTTGAATATGTAATTAATTGTTAAGTTGTGATATGCATACTACTTTCAAAAGTACGTACACTAGGTATACGATACCTTTTTATTATGCCCTTAATATATGGTCTCAGTCAGTGTTAACAGAGAGAGCATTCATTTCACTCTCTGTGAAAGAGTTGTTTCATAAGAGGAAACCTTTAAATGCGTGCAAAGACAAAGGCACCCAACTTTATGCTATTGAAATAAAAGGAACACTTTAAGAATTTCAAATGTTCTCCAGCACACGTAGGTGTTTGCTTGGTTTCCAAAATGGTCATACAGTGTATGAATTTGTCTTCTATCATATTAACTGTTCCAAGGACGATCCATTTATGTGATGCCTTGTTCTGAAACTTTTTTCCAAACCTGTTTGTAAAATCACAGCAGTTATCTGTAAACAACTTACATCAGGAGGAGGAAACAATTGCCTTGCATTGCAGATACTACTTCCCCTGGAGTTTGTAGTAGACAAGAATCAAAATTAACCTCTGGTGGTGGTGGTCAATCCCTAGCAGTTGAGGAACCCATTCTATGATTTCTGACAGAGTCCTTTGTCAGAACCACTGGATTTCATTGTACCTTGTTGTGTTCTTGTTGATAGTGAATTAACCAGTATGTTTTGATTTTTTTCTCACTCCATGTGTGATTGATTGATGGGGATGGGAGGAATCTCCTTGTGCAAGCAATCACAGGAAAATCATTTACAGCATCTCCAGGGCTGATCTGAATGTTTACACTTTGCTAGGATCTTGGTGGTGTTTAGATCCAGAGGTCTTTTGCTCCCTGTCCACCAATTTTTTTCCTTGATGTGCTTCTGACCTCATGGAGAAGACAATCCAGAATCTCTACTATGAGTGACAAGAGGTTACATTTGAGAATGGATCTTCTTCTAAACACAAAGACATCTTCTCCACTATTAGCGCACCTTTATCTGTGAGCCCAAAGATATAGATGATTGCTTTCTTCACATTAAAGAAAAATGTGTATAAAGGTCAGTGGAGGAATTAACACTGGGATCATTACAGATTCCCAGATAATGTCATGTAGTTGAACTCTTGCGCTACAATGCCAGCTAATGTTCAAAATTCCGTGATTTGCACATTTTAACTAACTTCTCATATTAAAAAAAGAATAATTAGGATGCACTGATGTCAACACCAGATTTGTACAAAGGTAGATTAAGAGCATGGGAGGTCAGTCTGGCCAAGCATGCTGTTCGAAGAACGGCCAACCAGTTGCTTGTGGGATCCTTTAGGCCAGTGGTTCTCAACCTGTAGGTCCCCAGATGTTTTGGCCTTCAACTCTCAGAAATCCTAACAGCTGGTAAACCGGCTGGGATTTCTGGAAGTTGTGGGCCAAAACACCTGGGGACCCACAGGTTCAGAACCACTGCCTTAGGATGACTACAACACCTTTCACCATCGTCCTCCGCAAATATAACAGAAACATATTGCCCCTTTCACTGGAGGTGACATATAGCCATCCTGACTAATACAGTAGGCCTTTTCCTTTGTAGGGTCTAGGTATGTAAGACCTCCACAAAAGTGTAAAAAATGCAAATAAAAAGAAATGTGGGGGGTTTTTTGCCTGAGAAAACACCTCCTTAGGAATCTATTGATCCTCCACCAGACAGTGGGCATAGTTACAGTGGAAGACCTAGAGATTCCTAGAAAGAAAATATTAATCAAATCAATAAACTTTCAAATTGTAAGTTGAGCGTGCAAATGTGAAGGATGCACTATATAGGCTTCTGAGTGTCCTGTCCTCATTGAGTTAAGATGGTGGATCACATATTCTGTATCTTTATCCAAATTAAATGGACTAGTGAGAGAAGAAGGCAATGAGTGCATAGAGTAACTATAATCATTAACTGCTTATGTTGCCGCTAGTTATAAAATAAGGAGCTCAGAGGATTGTATATATACAAAACGAAGAGGAGCTCTTCTGCTCCTTATCCCTTTTGCCATCATATACAAGCAAACCCATGGAAGTTTGAAATGCACTGATTCATTATTCTTTTATCCTGCCTTTCCCATAGAAAGTGCAAGGTGACATATGGAGTTCATCTTTAATTTTGTCTTTCGAACAGTGTTTTGAGACCAAGGGCACTGAGTTATCCAGTGAAGTTGTTGGATGAGTGTCATTATATGGGTCATACTAGTTCATATGTCTGCTTGTACCTTCCTTACTTTACGCAACTAAGGAAGATGCCAGAATGAGGCAGGTAGGCTTTAAGAAGGATAAAAGCAGAAGCAAGTTCAGAAACACTTTGGGTAAACTGTCAGCCTGCC